TGGAGATTATTTAGGAAACTAAGATTGAAGACCTTGCTTGAAGCAGAAGTTTTTACTGATTAGTAACATCCAATAGTTGTTATTAAAAAGCCCAATTCCAGTTGGAAATAGGTTATAAAAAGAAGGATTTGTAACCTAGTTTGGCACGAGTTCAACATGTTGAAGTCTAGAGCTTTGTCAAGGTGAACCACCCGGGTTGTGGGATGGTCACCATGCTCCTCTCGAAGCTTTGAAGCAAGAGTTGAGTATTATTCTTGGAGAAAGCTTTGAAGCAACTCCGGGATTCTGTTCTGGTTTGGAGAAAGGTTGTAAATGTGCGAGTTTAACCTTGAGTCTTAGCTAGGTTCATGGAAGTGTGTCTTCCTGGTTTTTCAAAATTGTATTGATCTCATTGTTGTCTGTAATCGAAGAAGGACTGAGGAGGGCCTCATATCTAGGCGAGTCTTAGATAGAAATCTAGTGAGGGTAGTGATTAAGTGATAAGTTGTAAACGGTGGAGTTTAACTTTGAATTGATACTACTAGTAGTGGATTTGTCCCTGGCTTGGTATGCCCGTAGAGTAGGTAGTTAGACCGAACTGGGTAAATAATTTTGTGTGTGTTTATGCTTTTCAGTACTATTCTTTCATGTTTATACCTTGTATGTGTTGTTCTGTCAGAACAAATGTCTTGAGATCCTCTTAGGACATCTTAGTACTGACCTACCAGAATTTTAAACAATATTTAATCAAGTGAACCCATTTTAAACTTGTGAATCCTATTTAACGATTAAATTTGTTGACCGAGCAAGTTACTCCTATAATTAATTTTTGAAGAGTCGATATCTTTGCCAAACCCAGTAAAAACAACTGTTTAATAATTGAGTTTTGTCATCTAAAGATTTTTTAACCCTTATAGTACGAGGAATTAATATGCCACCCCTCACTTATACATGTCAACCCCCCCCCCCCCCCCCACTCAATCACCTATGCTTTTACCATTATACCCTTGAGAATACTCACTAAATTTCAAAAAACATGATTTTCACACTATCGCAAATTTTGAAATTTTCAGTACAGTACCAAAAATTTCAATCTTGGACACCCTCCAAATTTATTCAAAGGTATTTTTAAAATAAATCAAATTAAAAAGTGACATGTTTAATTTTAGGGGTGACTTGTTAATTTCTCTTATAGCACTAGTTGTCTTGTACTGGGTGTCAGGCACTGATTCTCAACTAAGATTCCAACTTTAAATATTCGGTCTTGAAAATGATGCTTTAAAATTGATCATAAAGTTTACCAATGCTAATGATATTTCTTCCATTTTCATTGTATAGCTATTTTATTACAATTCTCCAATGCTAATAAAATTTGGGAATTTCTTAACCCACCCTATAACTTTCTTACGCGCCACGCGAAATTCTTTAAATGTCCCTCAAAACCGAAAGTATACTTCTGATGCGCACCACCATCTGATAAAATTAATATAAAATCAGAAATTTACTTCCGATTTTGTACTGGAACTGTAGTTTCGGTTTTATTCATAACAGAAACCAGAAAACTTCATTGCATTAGTTAACATAGACATACATGTAATTCATAACATAAACTTAGCAAATACGTTTAATAGTTAAACATAAATCAAACATTACAAATAAACATCTGGGTGGACGTTGCAACATCCTCATAATATCATCGACCGTTCTTGATGAAGTCGCATCTAACTCGATTGCAACTTTCTCTCGAAAACTTTCATAAGTAGACCACATAGTTCGTAAATCAACAATGTTCTTCAGCTCACGGTTGATGAATTGAAGATTCTCATTATTGTCAACCGATGGCGAGCGGTACTCAATCTTCACTACCTTTGGATTGTCGCCATAAGGTACAAGTTCTGCAACGTTTCACGTATATCTTCAATAGGAGTGTACAGTGATCTTATATTTGCGAGATGGTGTAGCACCGAGAAAGTGGACAACTCCAACAACCCATTTGATGTTCAATTTCATGTCCATTTCTGGTTTTTGGTGTTGTGGTAGGGAAAAATATAAGAAATGAGGTATTTTTATAGTAGTTAGATGTAAACATGGACCATACAAATTCTATCTTTGTGTCAGTGCGAAAACCGAAATTAAAGTTCTAGTTTTTAATAATATGGTACCTACAAAGCAATGCGTAAGAAGTGGGCAATACGGTTGCAACTGAATTCATTAACACCGTATCTCGATCGGTAACAATGACTTTAGGCATATCCTCTTGTTCCTTCAACATTGACCTAGAAACCTCTAAAGCCCATGCGAAGTTGTCCTCTTTCTCGCGCTCTAGAAATGCAAAACCACCTGAATACGTCTTCTCAGTCGATGTAACACCAATGATTTCCAACAACGGGAGCCTGTACTTGTTGGTTTTGTACGTCGAATCAATAATGAGCACGGTAGGAAACGTGTTAAACAACTTAACAGAATCAAGATGAGTCCAATAAATGTCTCTAACTGTTACTCCATCATCACCCTGTCGGTGCCTACAAACATAATTATTCTCATCTAGAACTTTCAATAGGTGTTGCATCTCGGTACAATCCTCCCGAATCGCTAACTTCGTTTGATAGCGCTTATTGTACACTTATTTGATATTTGATGAGCTCTCGGGTCTTTTGCGTTTCAAAGTTGCAAGAATATTTTTGGACAGTACCAAATTCAAAGTCATGTCAGAAACACATGTCTTTTCACCCGGAAGGAGCCGACATGCTATTGGATGATCAACCAACTTTTGAGTTAAATCATGATTGTGTTCACCGCTAATCACATTAAATTTCCACTTCTTGTTACCCATAGATAACCACGCAACCGAAATGGACATTCATATTTTCTTGAACCGGTATCCTCGCGTTTAAAACTTTGAATACGAGGTACGTATTTTCCATTTCTTTCGCATGTCAAAATTACAAACACATTTCTTCTATCTGTACCGTTATCGAACCTTGTTATCACAATACCAAATCCTAGTTTTGTTGCATCTATACGAATCTACTGCAACATGTCTTTCCGTAATCCAAATTCTTTAACATTTTCAAAATGTTCATGAACATTTACGAGAGTCGAAACTACGACCGACGAAACAACTTCAGATACAGCAGGTTTAGGAATGTTATTGGAGTGCACCATACCTATGTTACATAAATAACATAATTATAAACATGTCACAATGAAAGTTGCTGAGATAAAAAAAACACAGACAGAAATCGGAAATGTACTTCCGATTCTGTTCAACAAGAAACTGAATGTATATTTCCGTTTCCACGTAACCTTATTTCTCTAAAAAAGTAACAGATTAATGTAGTGAATGAGGTATAAAAAAAATAAAGTTTACCTAAAATTCTACTTTCTTGAGCTCTTTTTAATATGATGAACCACAAAAATGATGATTTGGAGTGAAAAATAGATTGAGAATGAGAAAGTTTTTGAGAGATTTAGAGTGGAATGAGTTGAAATGGTGATGATCAAGTAGTCCAACATGGTTGTTTTAAGTAACATGTGTTGTGACCAAAACTGAAAATATACTTTTGATAATATACAAAATATTCAGGTGGCAACACAATTCAATGTTTCCGCTACCATAACCAGAAACACATTTCCAGTTCCAAACCAGAAGTGCATCTCCGATTAAATTTCTTATAATTTAAAAGGTGACACCACATTTGACCTGTTTTATATAAAAATGGACGCGAACCAGAAATATAGTTCCGATTTTAGGAAAAATATTTTCGGTTTCTCATAGGGTGTCCTACTCCACTATGGGATGGGTTAAGAAATTCCCTAAAATTTCTCTTCGTTGTTGGCACAAAAAAGAACTTCTAGGATGAAAGATTCTTTGCCATATTTTCGGAGTGATTCCAAATTCTTCAACATTCACAACACTTTTATTACCAATCTTAAGTATTTTTCTTAGCAATTAGCAACCGAACCCCTTCTTTTTAATTTACTATGTGATTTGCGCACCCAATGTCAATTATAGATGTTCACCGTCATTTTCACTTATGACTGATGCCATCAATAGAGCTTCATTTGAATCCCCATCATGAGCAAACTGCATTTCTTCTCTTTTCTCCTTCACAAACTTTTTGGATCTGCAATCATATGTAAAATGGCCTATTCTTGGCAATTATAACATTAGATTTCCTTCTTCCTATACTTCTTTTGTCCTCTTGATTATGATATTGAGTCTTGCACATGAAGACCATCTTTAACCACCTCAATTTTATCTATCCACCGATCATGATTCTTCTGGTAAAAAATCAGCAAATGCACCGTTTAACCAACTATTGTTCAAGCTAAACGGCACCATTGTTACCAGCTAGCACTTACTCGAACTCAACAATTAAACACAGTTTTATAATATCAATTTGATAGAACAATTGAACTTTGTAAAGATGGCGATGAACATTCAAAGTATACTTATAAGAATTTCAGAATATATGGAAAGATAAGGAATAAAAAAAGTTAGTGATTTCACTTCATCATGAATTACACACTTGACCAACTAACTTGAAACCAAATGCTTCTAACTAATATCACACACTTAACCAACTAACTTAAAAATATACACCAATAATAGCCAACTCTTACTCTACACTATTGGTTAAACATTAGCACCCTAATAACGTGTGTAAGAAGAAAACTTGACATCTATAGTTTTAAATCATCCGTTTCTCAATATATCAATGATTTCCCTCTAAATTCAAGTCAGCAAAATCACTTTGAATAATCTAAAAGTGGAACAGAAGAAAACCATCAACCAACAATGTCTGGGAAAAAGTATGGCGACCCAAAAGAGTGTACAATTGAAGTTGTAAAACGAATGTACTTATAGATATAAAATCCAAACTTACGCTTTAGACGCGTTAAATGTATGATGCTCTACAACAGCCAAAATTATCACTAGACATGCACAGTGGTCAAAACTTAAAAAGACTGCAAAAAAATCTGGATATCCTACCAAAAGCTCAAGAAGTCACAACTTGCTAATTCAGTCTCTGCTTGCTCTTGGTTCTTCTCATCTTTGCCTTAAATCTTGACTTTACCAACAGAGTCTGTACTGTATTTTGAAAGTTCCCAATGGCCATTACTACCAACAGAAGACCGCAAATTATTACCTGTCAGAAGAGTTACTGTCAATATAAGGCTAACCTTTGCAATAAACGATATCACCGGAACTGGGTTCATTTTCATGTGTTTCTAGTCAAATTTTGATATAAAATGAAGTAAAAAAGCTAGCAGGAGCATACCTGCCATTCAGAAATCTGCCCAACAAATGCAGTATTGAGCAACGATAGTCCAACATATGCCTCAAATCCCTGAACCAAGACAGGATCACAAATACAGATCATGAATTCCAAGCTTTTCCATGTTCAGGTGATTTCAAAGTCGTGAATAAATAATTAAAAGTTAATAACATACAATGCTAGAACAATAAATTTGAAAGCATGTGTATCATCAGTATACATGTATGAACTGGTCACACTTTTGCCAGCAAAACACACAACCTATACTTATCAACTAATTAACCATCACTCACAACAAAAATGCAAAATATTTGAGGTTATGAATAACAAATCATCAATATTAAAGGAACATGAATATTGCACACAATTACGCCTCGTGCTAACACCAAAATAAGTAGCCTACATTTTGGTTTCTCTAGTTTTTTTTCAAATGGTTTTGGTCCCTCATTTTTAATTGTTACACTTAAATCCTTCCTCAACTTATCATAATCTATAAAGAAATTATTGTTTTAAACATTATTCCACTTAATACTTGAAAATATTTTTTTTTTTAAATTTAAACTTGCCAATTAAAATATAAAATTCCTAAGTTTTCTTCTTTTAAACTCTAATCTTGCATTGTACTACTACAAAATACTTCAAACTTTTAACTTTCAAACTTTTGATATCACTTTATATAACTCAAATCCACTAGGGGTTTCCAAATATTTTACAAATAAAAATGAGACTTTAAGGGATTTGGTGAAAAAAATAGTTGATTGTAGAACCATATTTGATTAGTTTTTAAAATAGAGATGGATTAAAATTGCTCAAAAAAATAGAGGAACCAAATCATACATAGCTCAAACAATTGTATCCAAAAGAGTAGTTGCCAAAAACTCGAGTAACTACATATGTTGTAAGTAGCCATGCAACTACCTGCAATATGAAAAGTATGGGACACAGCAACCACAGTTGGCCATCCACACCAGCTGTTTCCCCCCATACAACATCCATCCTCTTAGCCTATAATTCAGAGAAAAACGAGAGTCAAAACCACATACCTATTTCCAATCAATATGCTTGGAGAGAATTAAATGTAAAATTAATGCCATAGGGAAAAAGAAAATTTTCATCACGTTTACAAAAAAGACGGCAGTCGTAATTAATGCCATAGGGAAAAAGTAAATTTTCATCACGTTTACAAAAAAGAAGGCAGTCGTAATTACACTAAAATATAACAAAATAGCATGATGGTGGAAAAAAGTAAATACAACAAAAAAGAAAAGAAAAATAAAGCAAGTAAAATATACTATTTAACAGTGGCACCTTTCCCAATGCAATACGAGTATAAAGCCTCTGTCGTTGATATCTATTTTGCAAAAGCATTGCAACTCCTTGCATCATAGCCCACTGTAGGAACAGCTGTACACCTCTCTGCATGCATTATTGAGACATATAAGATAGATGCATAACGCCGTCAACAAGGAAAAGCTAATGGTGCTCAGAGAAAGAATACTAACCTGCTTATTTGCGCAGTCTGGTTGTCCTTTTATTTCCCAAGTGAGACTCACAACGGCCATTATCATGGCACAATAATGATGATATATCCACCTGTAACAGCATAGTATGGTTATTTTCTGAACAATTTTGTCCCATGTAAACCAAGGAATGACAAACTCAGCTCTCCCACTTCCCAGCATTATTTCCAAGGATGATAATTTTAGCAGGCCAAGTAAATAAACATAAACCCCCGCCAATTCGTTGTACTCAATCTAATAAGGGACCAAAGGGTGTCGATTATAGTTCTCTTCTCTTTTAAGATTAGAAACAATGTCCTCTTTAATAAAACATCAGAAGAAGAACATAAGCACAGAAGAGAGAACTATTTTCTTTGCAATCCACTCAAAATAAGTTAAGAAATAAGCCTGTCCTACAGAATATAAGGAATAAACCGCGAGAAATCTTGCATTTGACATTATCAATCTAAACCAAACACCAACAGAGAAAACAGTTCTGAAACATCATATTATCCTCATCACAATCATCACCAAAATCTCAAAAACAGTTTCAAACAAAGGCATCAGCTTAGTCATTGCTTCAGCCATGACTATGAAACTCTAACATCAGGAAATGGGAAGAAGGTTCAAGATAAGAAAATTATGAAATAAAAAAGGTTAAAAGATTCTGAAGGCATAAGATCTAAAATAATCATAGTTTTCCAAGTCAACGATGTTTAGAAACACGTAGAAACTCTAGGACATGGTTATCTTGCGTAGGGGGGAAAGTAATAAATCACATGCAAAGTAACCAGATGCTAGAAGCAGGAAAAATATTTTTAGAAAAAAACAGAATCTCTGAGAAATGAAAATGGAACAGCGTCCCCTCCATAGAAAGCAAAGAAGAGATAGAAAGTAGAGCTATAAATTTTCAGACACTTGATTGAATGGCAGATAAATCAAAACATAACATCCCTATAGCCACATTTATAAACACACTACTCCTGATGCCTAATACTCCTTACATAATAGGCTTAAATATTGATGCCCATCCTAAATAATTAAATAATGTCTTTATCCTCCAAAGCAGAAATCAAGTTGCGGAGTTTGAACTCGTTGAATAAACAGCAGATCAAGTTATAGAGTTTGAACTCACAAGATCAAAAAACAACAAAGCACTGAGGACATAATCAAGGATCTATCACCCATTAAGTAACTGCTATCCATTATTGTTTCATAAGGATCACTAAAATGAATATAAACTATCAGAAAGCCTCGATTAAAAAGGGTTCGAAGACTGTACCATGGACGGATATCACTTCCATTTACTCTCAAAATGTTCTCTCGCAAAGCCAAACCAGTATAAAGAAATAGCAGCCAGGCCTGACAAAGGATCATACTCAATAACAGGTTGCAGATAAATATTTCACGTAAGCAAGTCAATACTAATATGACATCAAACAAGAAGAATTCATCAGAAATACCTGGTAAATCTGTACGGGAAAAGCTGGCAAGCATCCATCCCAAACCCATGATCTTAAAATGAGAAGTGCTGCCGGGAAAATCAGGAACAGCAGAGCAGTTCTATCCTGAACAAAAGATGTGTCACTTTCCTAAAAGTTTCATAAACATTCCTTATCATGTATGCATGTGAAGAACAAAGTAGTAAATTATGGGATTTAGTGGTGTTATTGTCTATTGTGTCAACATGATATCATGTATCTTTGCTGATGACAGAGCCATCATGTCATTTTTTATAGAGCAGCCATCGTGCCTGCAGTGAGGCATCACAATCACTGCTGTGAGTTGAGCCATGTTCCTTTGATTCCTCATGCCTACTCCTCTAGTTAACTATGTGTTAGATCTACAATCTAGACTACGTAACCTTCAATTCATTAATAACTATAATATAACTAGGAATGAATATTTAATTTCGGGCAGTTTTGATTGCCTAATATGTCATTGATAAAGAGGCAAGCAACAGCAAGTCAGCAACCCCCTAGAGCGTTTTTGTGACAGGGCTGGACTACAACCGAATACGACGCCATTTCATATCAATAAACATTATTTGTGGCCGAAAACACTGTATAATTACCTTAAAATGATTATAAAATTCACAAAAAATAAAAGGAGAAGAAAGAAAACATTTACATGCAACGGATGGCAACTGAATAACAAGTCAATAAATAAATAGCTTAATTTGAAAGCATTATTACCCTGTAACTGTTGTATTCCTCTTTGACCTTAAGCTGCACATCCTTACGCGATGCACGAACATTAATAGGACCCAAAAACATCCTCAGAAACTTCCCTAAAACCCTCACACAGAAAAATTAATCAAATTAGCGAAAGTAATTAACGAATTAACAAACTAATTAGCAAACTAACCGTGAGCATGTCCTGGAAGAAGCGAAGAAGCATCACCATCAACAACAATACATCTCGCTCTCTGCAAATCTTCATCTAACTGCAACAAACCAAAACGGATCCAGCAAACAAAATCAAAATTCGAAATTAACAACAACAACAACAACAACAACAGTATAGTTTACCTTATCGGCAACGGAGTGATTAATGAGTTTATTGTTGAGGAGAGAATCGAGAGAAGAGCGAAGTGCAAGGATTTTGGAGTCGAGAGCAAGAGCTCGTAGCCGGAGAGGATGTTCGTCGCTTAACGATTTGGAGATGTGACCGGCGACGGAGTCTTGAAGCTCTTTAGCTTCTTCCAAAACGGAAGCAACTGATTCTTCAATCTTGTCTTCTCGTGATTCTCCCATTATTTCTTCACTCTCTTTCTCTTCTTCTTCTTCTTTTCTCACCGATACCAATACATACGCTTCCAATCAATACAACAACACCGCACCAAATCAAAACCCAATCACGCTTTTTCCCTAACTCACTCATTCGCTTTCTTTTTCATCTTTTATACTAATCATTTTCGCCCACATAAATTCAATTATATCATCACTCAATTCATTTTTTATTATAAATCTTTTTTATCATCATAATAAATATATTTAAACAATAAATACTATAAATCATATAATATAATGTTTTGAAAGTTTTATCATTATAACTATTTTTTAATAATAATAAGTTATATTGAAAGATCGTATAATAAAGATGGAGGAGTGTATTAAGGTTTTAAAAATAACTATATGAATATGAATTTTTTTTTGCTCTTATAATTTATATGTTAATTAAATTTCTTTTTTTATTTTAGTTTATTGACAGAAAACTCTTCATTTTTTTTTAAATGTTATAAAGAAGGTCATAGTCGGAAGGAAGGAAATTATATTATGATATTCCTAGAATAAAATTTTCAAATATATTTTCAACTAAAAAGTGTTGAATACAATTCAGAACATCTTCGTATAATATATATTTTTAAACATAGTAATCAAATAGATTAAAGATTAAATAATTTATTAAAATAATTAAATTTTTCAAAAAAAAATCTCAAATAACTAAATTTCCTTAATAATTTCTACTGTATAAAAAAAATGGCAATGCAAAACACATAGGTAGATGTAAGTCTCAATTGAATTGGTAATTGTGCACGAGATGAATTAATATTTGCATTTGTTTCTTGTACACCATTTTTAATTTAATTGACATCTTTATCTATTTATTTGTTGATTAGATTAGTTTGTCTTTTTTTAATAGGTTTAAATATATTTTTGATTTTTTGATTTTCACGTTTTTTAAATTTTAATTTTTTTTAATTAAAAATTATGTGGGAGAGATTAATGTTTTATTATTCATTTGAGTAATAAAATAATTAATTAAAAATTATGTTATTCCCAATTGAAGTTGTGGAGTACCGATCATAATCTCAATTCCTAACTTGCTATATTGATGAAGATCCATTCCTACTGGCCACCGTCCACCCTACACCTTCATGGACGTGACTCATGACATTAATTTTTTTACCAAATTTTCAACATTTTTCATGTTAATGAAATGAAATAACAAATTATTTAATTTTAGAAATTAAATTTACTTATGTCTCTATCAAATTTTAGAATTTATTTGACTTTTAGCTTTAAAAATATTTCTCATCCATAATTTTAATTTCTGTTGTTAAGGATTTCATTTTGCATATACATTTAATTTTGCACTTCTGCCGACAATGTAATGGGCGTTTGCCCATACAATTTATAATTAGTTTTGTAAAATGTTTTATAAATTTAGAGAACAATGTTATTTATTTATAAATAAAAGACAAATAGATAATAAAATACATCGTTGTCTTTTTTGAATGGGACAAGCTAAATTGATTCATAATCGATTATGGCAAAGCTATAATATATTATGTACATGTAATTTAAGAATGTTTTGACTCAACTCGTACCATAAACAATTATAATCAAATTATAGAGACACCTCATGATAGATTATACCAACATCATAATTGATTAGAGAGTGACTAATATTTCATAATTGATTATTTATTAGCCATATGCGATTATGCATTAGTAAAAATGGTTTATGGAATTTTTCGAAGAGTTTTTCATAAATCTTTTAAAAGAAATGAAGTTTGAAAAACATATTTTGTGAGTGTATATTTTTAGTACTTAGACAAATATTATTTTTACAATTTGATCTTAAAAAATATTGAACACTTGAGCTTTAGATCATAAGCGTGATTTAAATGTCTGGTATGTTTCTTGATGATATTCATAAAGTTTGATTTTTGTTGAGTCATTCATCATAAAATTTATTTCACACTTTTTGATCTAGATCAATTATTTGATGATGTTTATTTATTTGATGTTGTTGAGGCAATCATCAAAATTCGTATGCATATAGAACCACACATGTTATTGTGGTGTATGAGTCTAGGTCTTTTGCTTGTTTATACCTTGTTTCTTAATCATTAAATTACTACGAAACAAACTTTAGACAATTGTGAGTCCTTACAACTTTCACTTTAGTTCATATTTGATTTCTTACATGAGTATTTATTTCATTAACTTTTCAAACGTGTCACTTTTAATTTTCAAAATGTGAATCCATACTCTAGTAGAAGAATCATACCATGGTTAGAAGATTAGAACCATTCCAATGAGTAGTTACTCTTGTAGGCCCCAAAGATTTAAGTGAATGTACTCAGAAGATCTACTAGAATTGTGTATATCACTCTAAAACTCAACTCTGTGTTGTTGTTTTTTTATATGCAATTATCACAAAATTTTAGTTTCTCTTTTTTATCACCTCTTAGAAAACTTTGTTTAACTAACTCATCTAAACACCTCTCACTAACATGTCTTAACCTAAAATGTCAATGTTCGTTTATAACATAAAAGTCTGGACTAACTAATGATGTATGGCCTATAATATCCAAAATGTATAATCTAAACATTTTAGATCTGTGACAATAATAAATGCACATTGTGAAATTTTTAATATGTCGCGTCCAATTCTAATATAATAACCTAATATGTGAAATATGCATATAGATAAAAAAAAGTTTTCTTATGTTCAGGTACATATCTCATTTATTATAGAAGAAACTCATGATTATCAAACATTCTTAGACAAACAAAATTCATGTCTTAGACCTTGCAAGCTTTATCATTTATGAGGTAAACGGTTACACCTTCTTTCAGATCAAGATCTCAAAGTACTCCTACCTGAAAGACATGTGATAAGAGCATTCAAATTCCATGACCCAACTCCTTTTCAGTATCCTAACTAATCACAACTAGTGCACTCGTTATTTATAACCCTCGTTTGAGACAACCACAATATGAATATATATTTCATTGTCATCCTTTCATGAATAATTATTCTTGAAGTGACTTGTCTTGTGAAAATAAAAACACGTATACTTTAACTTGTCACCACGCCTCAACTTGGTTTCTTCCCCTTATAGTTTCCTCTACATTCCTCTTGAAAAATGCAAGCCTTAAATACTATCATCAACCATCATTTTCTTCATTTTGGTTAACTCATTGGTCCCAATAATCAATAAGACATCAACCAAAGTGATAATGTCTTCTTTACCATAAATAAGAGCATCTTTGAAATGCTCAATGAATTTATGTAATTAACTCAATAAGAGTAGAGCTTTGTCCTTATCATCGAGCTTCACCTTAATATTTTGTCAGTCATCAATAATTTTGTTAAAATACACGAATTTCTCCATGATGAACCTTGACTCTACCATCCTAAATGGGTAGAAATGTCAGTTAAAGAAACTTCTCGATGTTGTGGTTCTATGTGAATATAATTTTTATAATTTAGTCAACAAGATAAAAAATAATGAACATCGTCAAAGAATGATCGTGAATAAAAAAATGTGAAATAGATTTTATAGTGAATGATTCAACAAATATCAAATTATGAACATCATAAAAATGAACATGATTATTAAAGTACACCTCTACTATGAAGCTCAGGGGTTCAATATTTTTTTAGGATCAAAATTATAAAAATAGTGTGTTGTCCTTTAAGTACTAAAAATCTACACACTCGTGAAATTTTTTTTAAACTTCATCTCTTTCAAAATGCTTCTAGAAAACTCTTTTGAAAAAGCAAAAAAAAAAAACGATTTTTTTCTGAAGCATACTCGATTGTGACTCATAAATAATCGAGTGTGAGGCATGTCTTGCTTAGGAATCGATTATGATTTAAACCTAATCAATTATGGTACGATATGAGGAAAAAATTTCCTAAATTTCGTATGCATAATAGATTGTAGTCTTGTCGTAATCGATTATGGACTGGTTTTGGCCTTTTCCAAAGTTTTGTTTTATGCATAATTTCTTTTATATATATATATAGTAAAACCAAAATAGTGTTGTTCTTTTGAACTTATAAAGTATAAAAGTTGCAAGTTAAACTCCGATACAAGTTTGGTGTAGAGGTTGTGAGATGAACTTTAGTTAAAATCTCTATTAATTGTACAAGAATATCAAGGTGGTATCTTTGAGAACTAGACATAAGTCTTATAATTTTGGACCGAACCATGATAAATTTGGTGTGTTCCTACCTTATCTCATATCTTTTGCTTTTATTTTATTTATTTATATGTCACCCTCTTCTTTAAAAATAACTTATAAACATTTTTAATTCTAATCTTTCAAAAACATTTTTATATTACAACCCACCTCTTCTGGTGTTTGAATTCATTTTGTCAACAAATGTCACATTTAGTAATCGTGGTGCTCACTTGAAAGATTTGATCTTATTTTCCTATTGTGAGCATCAATTGTTAAAGATTCGAAAAGCTTGTTCAAACCAACAAGAACAATAGTGTTGACCAAATAACAATCACAACCAACCGCTAAGCAACTTCAAACAATAATAATAATCCTTTGTAGAATGCAATCACACAATAAAATAAAGCATAACATCATGCAAAAAGAGGAACACGCAAATCTCATGCTTATACAATTAGAGATGTCAACAGAGCAGAGAATGTATGGAGCATGCTTCTCTGTTTCCCGCCCCGACCCCTAATTTTCCCCCGTCTCCATCCCCGAAACCCAACACGGGGGATTATTTTTCTCCATCCCTAATCCCATAGATCCCCACAGTTTCCAGGGAATTCCATGAATATCGAATCTTAAGAAAAAATTTATACTTTTCGATCAAAACTACGACACTGTTAACTTATTATTTGTTTCCTTTTAAAAAAAACACATACTTGACATCTTTCTTTTTTAAAAATAAAAACACATCTTGCATTAATAACAAAAAGAAAATACAAAAATACTTGCAGTTGTTAATATTTATTTTTCTTTCAAAAAAATAAATATCAAACAACATA